GTCTAGCAACTGTAGCCTGTTCCTGCATCTCTGAGTCATGTCTTTACTCTCTGATCATTTATTAAGATAATTATAATTGATTCATAGAAATCTAAAAAGCAAGGAGCTTCTAACTTAAATTGGTATCTAATCGCTGGGAGACAAATCACATGCATCTACTTTGAGGATGAAAAACGCAAGTCAGAATACTGCAAGTGGGGCTGGCACAGGACCCAGGACTGCACCGCGTTCATCAGAAAATCCTACTACGATGGTGAAGAAGGTTCTAGAAGAGTCCTTCAGTGAAGCGTAAACATCAGGCACCAGAGAGGTCACCCCCTCTTGGGCTGGGGGACAGTGAGATCATCCTTCACCCCGTCCCCGCCTGGGGCAGGAGTGGAGTGGGGAGTGTCGCAGCCCAGCCGCCGCCTGCGGAGCTGATGCCACCAGCCCCGGCCTCGGGCAGACTGTTCCCTCGGAACCGGGCGCGGGAGAAACTGATCACCATGAGCACGCAGGCTGCTGTCTCTCCGAGGCCTGGAACTATTTTCAGTTATGCTTTTGCTGCGATATCTTTAAATTGTGCTTTAGCAAATGCCAGATTCAGTTCTTCTGCATGCCATTTGTTGTTGCCGACTACAGTGTTTCTAAAATCAACCAAACCACCGAGCGAGACGGAGAGGGACCCTCCCCGCGCCGCTGGCCCGCCCTCTCTGCCCCCCGCCCATTCTGGGTGCCCGTCCTCCGGCCCCAGGCTGGAACCCGGGGCTGCCGGAGCCCAGGGAGAGAGTAAAGAGCTGCGCTCTTGGCAGACCTGTCCACCTCGCATCTGGGTGAAACGTCTGAACCCCCCCAGGTCCCTGAGCTTGTTCCTTACACTCTTACTTAACGAGCATCTAGGAAACGCCGCACAGGCGGGCTACGCGGGCCCTCGGAGCTGTGGTGACGGACATCAACTCCGCCGAGAGGTTCCCGCACCCACACTCAGGCAGTGAGGGGGGCTCCCCCTGCACACGCTGCAACCCTGCGGCTTCCCTGCCTGGATGGGGCCTGAGCTCCCAGAGGCCCCTTCTTGCCAGGGCGCCCCTCGGCTGCTGTCCAGGCGCAGGCCCCGCTGCGCCAGCCCTGGCCCCCGCAAGTCGGATTAGCCCTGGCGGCTCCCGCGAGCGCGCCCACCTCTGCCCGCCTGGCTCGGCGTTCCCTGGGGGTGGACAGAGAGCGCCCGGTCGTCCTCCCTTGCCCCCTCGGGCCTTGACTCGTCTCACACCCTCCCCTGCTCCTGCCCTGCTGCCCTTCTAGGCGTGTCTCTCCCCATTCTCCTGGCTCCCGCCTTCCGCGCGGTTTCTGTCCCTTCCTGGTGAGAGCTGCTGGCTGTCATGGTCACTTAATTAAAATGGGGGATTATCGATTCTGTGGTGCCTTTAGGAAAGCAATTCCAGTTATAGGCCACTCTGTCAGAAAAGCTCAGAGGCCACAGCGTTTTGATAGCGCAGTTACAGGGAAGAGCCGGCGAGAAGAGCTCGCGCAGGGATCAGCTTGCAGAAATGGCTGACAAACCCGCCTTCCACACCCTGTGCCGGAGGCCACCTGCTCCCCGCCCCCGCCCCAGGGCGCCAGCAGGGACATCCAGGGAGGTGCTGCCCTCGGGCCTGTTCACTCAGTTCCTCATGTTGCTTGGACAGGGCCGGGTCAGCCTGGCCATGCCTGAGGGCCCAGCCTCACGCGCTGGAAGGCTTCTCTGCCCCTGGCCTGGCTGGGAGCCGCGTGGCTGATCCAGAGCAGCCTCGATCCCAGCCAGAGAGCAGGGCAGTCTCCCTTGAGAAGAGCGTCCTGACCCGCCCGGAGGCATGTCCCGCCCCACCCTGGGCTCGGCGAGTGCCATCCTGCCCACCAGGCAATGGAGGAGGTGCCCCGAGACCCCAGCCAGCGTGTCCCCGGGCTGAGCCTCTCTCACTGGGAGGAAGCGGACACTCATGGACAGAAGGTTTGCTCCGGCACAGCCTCGTTCCCGGAGGAGAGCGTGAGGAGTGAGAGGCGTGGGCCCGAGGCCCCGTGCAGCGCTCACGGACGCAGCGCTGCGGCTGGCGTGGCCTTGGCAGGCTCCAGGGGCAGGGGCAGAGGCTCAGGCAGCAGAGACGTGTGGGCAGCCGTGTAGGACCCAGAGAGAGCGCTGTCCCCTTGCAGGCACAGCCCGGTCACCGCGGCAGCCCCGGCAGGAAGGACAGAGCCCATGCTGAGGGGCCGTGTCCCTCCCCGTGTGCACTGGGCCTGGCCGCATGCGTGCTGGGGTCAGGACTCGAGGTGATGGCCCAGCACATGCGGACGCAGGCCTGGTGCAGAACCGCAGCCACGAAGGCACCGGGTGGTGACACGGAAGGTTCTAGCCTTTGTGCTGTGGCCTTTCTCCAATTTGCCAGAGTTTCTTCTGTGCAACTGAGTGTCGTTCCAAGAATTAAAATGTTAAATGATCGTAGTGAGCGTGGCCTCACCCGTGGACAGCTGAGGGCAGCCCTGGATGGAGCAGGGGCGGGGCCGACACGGGGCAGGGCGCACGGCCTTCCCCGCAGCTCTCTGCAGAGCGAGCCCCAATCACTCATGCCAGGGCCCAAGCCCAAGGGTCCCGCTGGCAGCAGGGGCTGTCTGCGTCTGCGAGGCGACGGGCCCTCCGTCAGGCCAGGGAAGCCCTGCCCGTCCAGCCCAGGCACTTGGAGCTGCCGCCAGGAGCTACAGCCTCGGCTGGAAAGTCGCTGACCGTGCTGGGGTGGGAACCAGCCGGTGCCTCACGGGCCTGCGAGATCCCCGTCCCTGTTTCAATGTACGTTCATCATTTCCCAGTGTCTGGGGCCGCACATATGCGCGCGCGCACACACACACACACGTCCCTGAATTGGTCCCCAACATACACATTCTTTCAAGACAAACTTTTCCTCAACTAGCAGGCGTCTGGAGATTTAGAGAAAACCCTGAATCACCCACATTTTTTCAATCTGCTCCTTCATATACTCCTGTTACTGCAGAGATGGCGTAATGGAGCTTTGTTCTGGTCCTTCCACATGACAGTATGTTCTGTAAACGCAGCTGTATTTTTCTAAAAGTAGCTGCCACCTGCACACCAGTCACAGATCGGTCTCTCAAGAGGCACTTGGAGCCACACTGGACCCCCACCCTGGGGTCTGCGGGGTGCACCTTGAGGGACACCCACTGGGGTCCGCTGGGCCTAGGCCCCAGAAGCACACGGAGGGTGGGGTGCACCGCCCAGCGAGGGGTGCAGGGAAAGGCGGGAAGGAAGAGGAACATCTTGGAAAGAAGCCCAGCAACCCGGGCGCTCGCCCGCAGGCTCCATGGTGCGAGGGTCGCTGAGCAAGGTCGGGTGACCGGGCTCAACAGTTATTGAGGAGCCGCGCGCAGTCAGGTGCGTTCTGGCCATTGGCACGCGAGCACGAGCTCCTGTGATGCCGTCTTAGCCCTCGTGGTGCGTGCATCTGTTTCCCCCCGAATTCCTGTCACTAAAACAGAAATACACACAGTATGCTCTGACATTAATCAAAAGAAAGAGCAAAATCGTCTTTGGCAGACAGGAATGTTTCGAAGAGCACAGGATAACGGGCAGCATAGCTACTTGCATTCTCTGCCCTTTGCTGACGGAAAGCGGTTTCAGAAAGGGTTCACCTCATGCTCCTGGCTCGAGCCGTCCCCGCGATGTCTCTTCTGGTGGCCACTGACAGCAGGACGCACACGCCTGTGGCTGATGTCACGTCTGCCGTGTGGACAATGGGGCGCCCTGGACTGTGCGGCGGCACCCCGTGGCCTCAGGACTCAGTGCCGAGCCCGGCCTGGACAGGGAGGCCGCTCGGAGGACAGCACCCAGCCCAAGCCCGCCCGAGAGAGCTGCTTCCCGCCGACCCGGCAGCCTGAGCCCGGAAAGCGGACAAGCGCGCGCCTGCTAACTGAGAGCCTCTGGGAGCAGGAGCGGCAGAGCAGGACCTCCCACTCCCGCCTGCAGCCGGGAACAAACCCCGGGCAGGTTCAACATTTGCAAGAGGAAGGAGCTGGAGGCAAGTGCAGCCGCCTCCCCGCCCGCTCGCCCTCGGCTCCAGCTCGGACCCCGGGCCAGGCCACTGCGGGCTGGAGAGGCCGCGCTGCGGGGTGTCCGCGCACAGAGGGCGGCGCCAGCCCCAGGCCCCAGCAGGTCACTCCCGGCGCCCCCTCCTCTGACCATCACCGCGGATTCGGGGTGCGCCCGATGAGGCCGCAGCGATGAGCTGGTGGTGGACACGGACTTGCGCTGGCCGGGGTGGGGGGGCGGCTGGGGCGCGCTCTGGTGCCGGGCGGGCAAAGTGCAGGCCCCGCAGCCCCCACAGCCCGCGTCTGGGCGAGCAGGGGGAGCAGGAGGTGAGAGCGGAAGAGGTTCACGGCTGGGAGCGCTGCCAAACAGAATTTTGACTTGCTCAGGGGAATCTGAATTAATAATTATTAAATGTAATTAATAAATCTAACAGCACACTCACCCAACGGTACTGTTGAGTGTCTATTATCAGAGCTTGCAAAGCATCATCTGGAAGCCAAGACCCCATGAAATTAATTAATTAAAGACACACGACGATCACAGGCATAACCAGGTCTCATACGGGTCCCCCTCAGCTGGGGGGGTCCACACTCAGTGCAGTGGCTGCGTACAAAGGCTTCACCCCACCCCGCGGACGGCCAGAGCCAGGCTGTGGGCTGGTCCGCGGCCAGACGCTGGTCCCCAGGGTTTACATTTCAGGAGTGAGCTTTGGTCAGGGCCTCCCTCAAATACTCCCAGCGCCCCTGACTCAGTGGTACCCACAGTTGCGTCTCCACAAGAAGAAACCAGCCCTGCCCGCCAGCGCCGCCCACAGCCACGCCGGCCCCTCACTGCAGCCCTCAGCAGACAAGCGATCATCTCCCTTGACCCACTGCCGGGGACGAGGCTGGGGCTGGCGGCCTGACCCCACGCGGGGCGGGCAGCAGGCAGAGTCCCCGGAGGGTCCGCGCACCCGACGTGCTCTCCAGCGGCCCCGCCTCGGTGGCACAGAAGACTGATGCGCTGATTAACAAGGAGAGAAGAGCACATTAGCACCTGAGGTGAGGTCTGCTGGCGTAGTTATCAGCTGGATCCAAAAAAAATGTGCTAATTTTTCTGTGTTTTCTCAGAGTTCAGCTGTGAAATGGAGGTGTCCTGTGGAGCAGAAAATCAGAGGAAAGTGATGATAAAATAGTTCTTTCAAGAGACAAAGGAAGTATGGCACAGAATATTTCCTTTAAAATCGAACTTCTTAGGGCCCAGCTACAGCCTTGGTTTGCTTAGAGAGGATGAAGCGGGGGCGGCTGGGGGGAGCCTAGCCCCCCAGCCGTGGGGAGCTGAGCAGAGACAAAAGCCAGGGCTTCGCCTGGGTCATCCGGATGAGGCAGCTCTTGACAAAGCTGTAAGCAGGTGAGGGTAAGGAGGGGTAAGGGCGGGCGGACACCTGCCCAGCCGGGCCGCGGGGATTCTGGCTGGCCCTGGACCCTGGGGCCTGGGGGGTCCGGCCAGCCCTGGCCCTGAGGTTGGGGGGTCTGCAGGAGAAAGTGTGTTGGGGCCACGCCAACCCCCAGGGCAGCTCAGCTGTGCGCTTGCTCTGGAGTCACGTCTTCGGCTCACGAGTAAGTCCTGGTAGATTTCAGGAAGCAAAACGCCAGCAATTCTCTCTTTTCCTGAATGTGTCGTTTGAGTCGTGTCTCTGTGTTCAGCTCCTTCGGGAGCTGAGGTCGCTCTGCCCGCCCGCTGCACGTGAGGCGGGCTCGGGTGGACACACAGTGACCGCTTGCTCCTCTGGCTCAGGAAGAGAAGGGACCCTGGGGTTTTTTTGGACACAGACCCCTCTAATCCCAGGCGCAGTTTTATCCCGGGATAAAGGAACAGGCTGTTTCCTGGCACGTGGAAACCACCTGCGGGAAACGTGCTTGAAGGAGACCGTCACAGAGGGCCCGCGCGGGCGCTGAGCAGGACGCTTGGCCTGAGAAACGGGTGACGGGGGCCTTTGGCACAGCGTCTCATGAAGGAACTGCTGCCACCAGCCCGTCCCGCCGGCAGCCCCGGGCCTGCACCCAGGCCCAGGCCCAGCCTCCCAGGGGCACCTCTGCTGACCGTCAAATGCCCGAGACAGGCCCGAGACAGGCGCGCTCCTACTTCTGAACACCAAGTCTTTCTGAATCGTCTGCTGGGCAAGACGGTGGCTCAGGAAGGCCTAAGGTGGGGCGGCCAGGGGACACTGCCATGGAGGGCTGGGGCATCTGGACACACACACAGGCCCAGGCCGTCGGGCAGGGCCACCCCTGGAGGACTCACACCCTGGACTCCAGGTCCCTGCTGGCCACACCCTCCGTGGAGCCCTGGGCCTGAGGCGCTCGTCCAGCCCTGTTTCACCTTCTTGTGCAGACAGCAGGGCCTGGAAGGAGCGGCTGGGCAGCGCCGAGGCTCCCGGGGGGACGCTGCTGCATTCACACAGGTCGTCTTCAGCACTGTGGCCACTGGGAGGCGGCCCTGCCAGGCTCAGCTGGCTGACCCACGGGGAGCGCTCCCAGGAACCCGCTCTCCTGACCCGTTCCCAGGAGTCAGACCCCTGCCCCCCAGTCTAGCCCTGCTGAGGCCTCTGCCCTGCCCCCCCACCCCTGTAGGGCCCCCCCAGCCCCCAGCCACGCCCCTGCCCCCAGCCCTGCCCAGCCCCCGCCCAGCCCCGCATGCAGGCACCTGCAATCCGGTGGCAGGTGGCCCCAGAGTCTCCCGCGAGGCGGGGCTGCGTCTGCCCCAGCCCGAGTGGCCCCTGCCCACGGCCGAGCCAGGAGCGCCTGCTGCCCTCCTCTCCCACCTGCCATCCCACTGGCCGGATGCCCGCAGGCACCTGACCGCCGGCGGGCTGACCAGTGCTCTTCAGCTGCAGCCTAGTGCCCTGGGCAGCTGTCCCCGCCCCTCCCGCTGTCGGCATAGCACCCAAGGGGGCTTCCCGCAGCCCCCTGGCCGCCACAGGGACCCCACAGTGCCCACCAGCTGCAGCCACGGGGTCACTCTTACACCTGAAATCTGCCTCCCGCCCCAGGCCGGAGGCGGTCGCCGAGGGCTCGGCTCAGGCGCTTGCCTCTGCTTCCTGCAGGGCCAGGGCGCGCTGGGTTACTCACGAACAGCGTGAACTACGCGGAGGTCCGGGCGGGTGCGGGCCGGGGTGGGGGGCAGCGCCCGGGAGCCTCGCCTCATCGCAGCCGCCCGTTTCATCTTTCTTCTGCTCAGAGACCGCCCATATTCTAAGGTTCACTTTGAAACAATAGCTCGCTTTGAAGTGTAATTTAGGATTTATAATGTGACTCTGTGTGGCACAAAATCCGGCTCCACATGAACAGAAAGGAGCCGGTCCGGAGCGCGGGGGCCACGGAGGCGGAACCCTGTGCCCTGGGTACAGGAGGCAGCGCCCTATGCCCCCGGCTCTCCCGGCCCAGCTCCAGGCCGCCGCCCGCGCCGGCGAGCCCTCCCAGCTCAGCCCCGAGTCCGCCCGGAGCATCATGTCCACCTCGGCTGAGACCTGAAGGCACGAGCGGGCCATTTTCCCCAGATTTCCGCAGAACTTCAGATTTCACGAGAGAGGCCGAGGGGCACGGGAGGGCTGGGCCCGCCAGGGGCTGCGCGATTCTCCGCACAGAGAAGCTGGGTCGGCACGGCTCCTGAGGGGCCGCTGGCTGCGGAAGGTGAATGTTTGGGCGGGCAGAGCCTCTCCCCAGGAGCAGCTGTGGGGCACCTCCGCAGGGCCAAGCCCCACCCAGCAGTGGGAGAGGGAGGGCCCAGCTCTCCCCAGGTTCTGGGAGATGGTGCAGGAGGGAGGCAGCAGGCCAGGCTCAAGGCCCGTGTGAGCCCGCAGGCCAGAGGCTCGTGGGCAGAGGCGGCGAGAGAAGGGAGCGTGAGAGGGTCAGAGGTGGCAGGGGGCTCATTTGCCTGAAGAATTCTTTGCAAGCCACACCGAGTTGTTGCTAAGTGGAGCAAAATGTGCGGCGGGAGGCCCAGCAGGGTGGAGATGCCGCGTGGGCCTGGGGAGCTCCAAGGGCCGTGGGGTCTGTGGGGAGCAGGGGCCGTCCCAGGCCCAGCCGGCAGAGCTACAAGATGGGCAAGGCACCAGTGCGGGCGTGAGGTGGGGGCAGGGCTGGTGTTGGGCATGAAGCCGGTGCCCACGATCACAGGCCTCGCTGGCCGGTGGGGTCAGGGAGGGGGTTAAGCCTCCAGCCTGGAGGCCGCCTCCTGCCTAGGGTGGACCAAGTAGCCAGCCAGTGGTGGAGACCCAGGCTAGCAGGAACCGGGGCGCGGGAGAGGAACTCGGCGAGGCCCAGGGCAGAGGCTGGGGAGAGGCGGAATCTTCACAGATGTTATTTTGCAAGCAAGGCTCTGCAGAAGGCACAGGCCTTCCCACAGGCCCTGCCCTCGCACAGCACAGACCCTGCTGCCACCCCCGCCACAGCGGACACGCCCTCCGATAAAGAGCCTCGGCAGACATGTGGGCATCGCCAGAGCCACAGCCGCCGTCCGGCCGCTCCAGGCCCGGTGCTTGCAGAGAGCGTGCCCGCGGCTGTGTGCTGGAGCAGCCGCACTGCCTGGACGCCCCGGGCTCCGCCGAGCCAGCACCTTCCCCACACTCCGGGGAGCACCGGCCTTCTCTGCTTCGCGGCGCTCTCTTCCAGAGTCGGGTCTGGGCTGCGCAGAATACACCCGCCGTGGATTTGTTCTTTCATTTAGTAAAATGCATAGAAGGTTCTCATGGCTCGAGGGCTTGCCTTTCAGCGCTGAGCAATATTCCACGGTCAGCCGCACCCTGTTGACTTACCCGTTCACCTTCTCAGGACACCCAAGTCTTCACCATTATGAATAAAGCTGCCGTTGACGTCTACACGCGGATTTTTACGCCCTTGAGCCAGAGAGCGTGATTGCTGGAGCGCACACTCTGCACTTACCACGTACCTTCAGGGAGAGAGCAGGGAGAGGCCGCGGCGGGAAGGGGCAGGGTGGCCCCATGAGGAGCCGGGAGGGCTTGGCCTCCTCCTGCCAGAGCCACCTCTCCCCGCAGACCAGGGCTGGCCGGTAAGGAAGGGAGGGTGGGCGTGGGGGGGCTGTGCGGCAGGCCCTGGGGGGTGAAGAGCACTTAAAAATAAAAACGGAGAGAGCCTGGTGTTGTTTCTTCAGCTGGTAGCCGTTTAAGTCCATTTGCTAAACTCTTTGCCCCGCGCAGTCCATTATTCTAATTACTAATGGTCTAATAAGAGAGCCGGGAACTCACAGCCCAGGTATCAACTATCTCCCGAGTCCTGCTGATCTTTAAGAAACAGACACTTTCTGAGCCAAAACAATAATTAAAATCATAAATATGCATTGCCCCAAGAAGGCAAACAGTCACAAATGCACACTCGTCAAGACGAGTGACGCTCACCCCCAGGCGCCGAGGGCCGCTGGTATGCGTCGGCCGCCCGGACGTGAGGGTTCCCAGACAGCTGCTCTGCGTCATCCTTGCCTGCCCAGGCGGGGCTTCCCGCCCCCGGGGAGGGACACCCGCGGGCCTCGCGGAGCAGGTTGCAGGCTCCATTTAATCCCGAGCCGAGGCACAGACGGGAGTGGCCAGGACCCGGCGAGCCTGTCCCGCTGCAAACCCGACGACACCCGCCAGCCCACCCACGGCCCCCAGACCCCAGAGCGGAGCGGAGCCAGGACTGACCCAGGTCCCTGCACACAGAAAGGGGCGGGGGAGGGGCGGGACCCCCACCGGGACCCCCACCCACCCGAGGGCACGTCCGGCGGCCATCCAGAGGCTCCGCTCTCAGGGAGCTCCAGCCACCCTGTCGCCTCCAAACGCCCCACGGAGGCTGGAGCGTCCTGTGCGACTGGGGGTGTCAGGCTCCGGCCCAGGGCGCTGCCGGCCTGGGGCTGCTGACCACGGCTTGGCCACAGGCGCGGCATCCGCCCCCGGGTCTCACTTCGCTTCAGCCGCGTGTCGTGAAACACCCAAGGCAGCTAATTGACTCGGGTTCTCGGTCAGATAATTCCTGCCGTTTCTTTTCTGAGGAGAGCCTGTCGCTGCGACTTAATTTAATCACGGCCTCCGCACGCCCGCACGGAGCCCATGGCGCCGAGGCGGTGGGTTCCGTTTAATTAAATTTGATCAAATAATAATG